GATGAAATATGGGGCCGTATCCTTGGCTGAGATCTTCTCCCTTCTACTAGCGTCGCTTTCATTGACATTCATTATGAAGATAGCCAAAAAATTGGCATGCTCGGTACTTCAACTTTGTCTATCAAAGCATTCGTCTTAATATCTAATAGTGCTCATCCTCGGGCTAGTCACTGCACTTGTGAATTCTGCCACAGGCTCAATCACAATCATGACAAGTGTTGGAAGCTCCACAGGAAACTTGCATCCAAACCTTCAACCAAATCTTCCGCTGCCATGGGTCTCACTTAGGGAAGCTCAGCTCGTGTTCGGCTCGTTTATATTTCGAGCTCAAATTTGCTTAGCAAACGAGACAAACAGAGTTTGCTTAACGAGCCAAACACGAACTGTTCACGAACAAAGAGTCATTTTACAACCCTAATCATATAGCCATAAGACAATAAGTGTTTAAACAAGATTTAAAAATTATTATTTATATTAAAACATCATTTGAATCTAATTTAATAATTTTTATTTTATTTTCTTAATCAATATTTTAATTGATTATAAACCTTTATAGTTTTGTAGTCAATTTGATTTTTTTAAATACTACTTAATATATATATATATATATGAGTAGTATGTCGAGCCAAAACAAGCCGAACACGAACGAACACATCTTAGTTCGTGTTCGGCTCGTTAACTTATCGAACGAAAATTAACTTATCGAAAGAAATTAACGAGACGAACACGGACTTCTTAACGAGCCGAACACGAGCTGTTCGCGCACAACGAGTCATTTTGACAGCCCTGGTCTCACTATGACATCTGAATCCAACACGGTACAACCAACATTTACCCAGAACAATCCATGATCCCCCAATTCTCTTAAGAGTCAAATGAGACAACTAATCAAGATGTTTGGATCCAATCCACTCTTTCTTTCCGACCCGTCGAACTCCCACGTTCGTCAAAGTACCAATCCTATGACACTCACTTCTTTTACCACTTATAATCCATAGATAGTTAATTATGGTGCCACGAACCACATGACTGGAAGCTCTCAAACCTTCTCAACATACTATCCTTGTTCAGGGAAAGATACTGCTAAAATTGCGGAAGGGTCTCAAAATTCTATTGCTGGTAAATGTTCTCTTGTTTAAATAAGTCAAACTATGGAATTTATGTTACATGTACCTCTGCTAAAATGTATCATTTTATCCGTCGGTAAACTGATAAATGCATTAATTGCGTTGTTCACTTTTCTTCTGATGTTTGTATCTTTCAGGATCATTGTTCGGAGAGGATGATTGGAACTGCTAAGCAAGTTGGCGGGCTCTACTCCTTCCAAGAGAAAAGCACAAAGAATGAGAACACTCCACCCAGTAGTTGCAGTTTATCTCAGTCCACTGAATGTCTTATTATGTTGTTACGTTGTCGTTTGGATCATCATAAATTCCAGTATCAAAAGTAATTGTATCTATTGGTGTTTACTAATAAAAATCGTTCTAATTTCAAATGTAAAACCTGTCAGTTAGTCAAACATCATCATGTGTCTTATCCACCCCACAATTGCATATTCCACTCTTTTCTCTCTTATTCACAGTGATTTCTGGAGACCCTCTCGCACTCCTAACTACATCAATAGACGATTGTTCTTTACTTTGATTGATGACTATACTCGGGTGATATGGTCTACATTTTAAAAGATAAATCTGAAACTGTTGTCACTTTCCAAAACTTGGACGCCTTTATTTTGTCCCAATTCAAAACTCTTATTCAAGATCTTCGAACTGATAATGACAATGAATTTTTTAACTCTATATTAGGAAATTCTTGGTAAGTAAGAGCATCCTTCATCATAATTCGTGTACCGATACTTCTCAACAAAATGAAGTAACCGAGAGAAAATCAACATGTCTTCGACGTTATCCACTTCATTATGTTTCACTCTAATGTCCCAAAAAGTTTCTGGAATGATGTCATTCTTACTGTCACTTATTTCATACTTATAGTTCTCATAAAAATTCACAACTTTCGTACCCCTTTAACTATCTTAAGATTTGCATTCCTAACAATCGGCTCCTCTCCACTTTAGATCCCAAAATTTTGGGTGCACAACCTTTGTTCGGAACATGGCCCCAACTCGATGTAAACATAATCCGTGGTCCATAAAATGTGTTTTCCTTGGATACTCAACCAATCAAAAGAGGTATCGGTGTCTTGACCCTACCACAAAGCCAATCAAAAGAGGTATCGGTGTCTTGACTCTACCACAAATAAGATCAATATGAGTGCTGATGTTTCTTTTTTGAAAGTGTTCCCTATTTTCCTATCTCGGCCCCTAGTGAGGGGGAGCTTGAGTTCTTGGACACTGTTCCTTACCCTACTCCTATGGATGTTCCCCCCACATCACTTACCATCGGGGAACCCTCTATTCCTTTGGTTCCAACAACTTCTCCTACCACCAAGGAGTCCTTTGTCCCTTTGGTTCCACCCACTCTACGTGTCTACACTTGACGCACTCGTTCTGATACACCTACTATGGAGCTCACAAACCCCTTGCTGGACCCTGAATCCCCTCTGTACAACATCCCCAACACTGCTCCACCAAATGAAGAAGTCAGTTCGTCCAGTAAGGTACGCAATCAGGCAGACTCTCTCTACACATTAGCAAATTATGTCTCTTTGCAGATTATCTCCAACCTACATAGCATTTGCTACAGCCCTGACCAATCTTTAACTTACATCTACTATTGAGGCTGTTTTAGCAGACCCAACCTGGAAAGCTACCGTCACCGAGATGAATGCTCTTTAGCGGAACCATACTTGGGATATTGTTGATCTTCCTCGGGGCAAAAAAGTAGTGTGATGTCGATGGATTTTTAGCATCAAGTTTAAATCTGATGGATCCTTTGAACGCAATAAGGTATGATTGGTCGCCTAAGGGTACTCACATACTTATGGAGTTGATTATGAGGAAACATTTTCTACAGTTTCCAAATTAAACACCATTCGAGTCCTCTTATCCCTTGCAGTAAATCTGGATTGGCCCTTATTTCAGTTTGATGTTTCCTGAATGATGATTTTACAGAGGAGGTATGCATGACTCTTCCTAGAGGCTTTGACTCAACTGCCTCTAAAGGGCAAGCATGTAGACTCCAAAAATCCCTCTATGGAAGGAGCGGGATATATCATTCGTGATGAGCGTGACATTGGATTTAGTGCCATCGGACACCTCTTTCAACATTGGGATAGTACCCAAGTGGAGCTCCAAGCCATCAAAGCTTTTAAAGATACTTGCCAACCATGGATGTTTGAGTGCAACGGTATCATTATTTAAGGCGACGACTCTAATATCATGAACTTCTTGCGGGCATCAATGAATGGGAACTCTTGGCATCTTCGCCCTCATGATGCGCCGGATTTTGTTTTTTCTATAACTTTGTGCAAGTTTTATTTCTTTATAGACCCCGTGAATGTAATGGGACCGTTCATTTTTTGTGCTAAGTGTGCCCTTAGTGGTCTTTTATTTTGATGCATCTAGATGATGATAGAGAACTCTCTACAATACTTGCAGATGATAGATCTCACTTTTGTACATCTTAGATGCACACATGCATAGTTTTGTACCTTTTTTGACATAGTAATGCAAATGCACTATTTCAAAAAAATCCTTCTATGGATTGAAGAAATTACAATGGGCATGGTTTGGGAAATTTACAAAGGTGGTGGTTGGCCATGAATTCACTCAGACTCAATCGGACCACACTCTCTTCTTCTAGCATTCATCCATAGGCCATGCAGTTATCCTTATTTTCTATATTGACGATATTATTCTCAAAGGTGATAATCTACCAACATTAGAGTCTTTGAAAGATATGTATGTTGCTTCTTTTGGAATGAAGGACTTAGAATTGCTCTGATATTTCTTAGGCATGGAAGTTGTTCGGTCATCTCAAGGTGTTTGTCCATCTCAATGGAAATATGTGATTGACATTTTGACAAATAACAATCTTCTCCAGAACAAACTAGTAGCTGTTCCGATGGATCCAAATGAAAAACTTATTGATGTTCCCAATGTAATTTCTGTAAACAAGACTCACTATCAGTGTATGATAGGGAAACTCATCTATCTTGCTGGTACGCGCCCCAAAATATGTCACATGGTAGGGATAGTCAGTCAATTTATCCACGATCCCTATGAGCACTACCTCCAAGCTGTTCATTGTATTCTCCACAATTTGAAAGGGACATCAGACTCAGGATTTTTTTTTTCCCATCACTCCTACCGTTCTATTACAGTTTACACAAACGAGGATTGGGCCGGGTCCTTTCATGATTGGTGATCTACCTCGGGATATTGTTCATTTGTGTGAGGAAACCTGATCACGTGGAAAAGTAAGAAGCAGTATGTTGCTCGGAGCAGTGCAGAAGTCAAATTTTGATCCATGTCCCTAAAAATTTGTGAAGCTCTTTGGTTACGGATCATGCTCTATGAACAACGTATGACGTTTTTCCCTCTCCTACAGTTGTTTTGTGTTAACAAGTCTACCATAAGCACTGCTCACAATCATGCCCAACATGATCACACCAAGCATGTTGAGATTGGCCATCACTTTATTAAAGAAAAGTTCGAGTCCGGGGAAATTTATGTTCCGTTTAAATCATCTAATGGCCAGTTGGCAGATATTCTCACAAAGAAGCTTCTTTGGCCACTATTCGATGAGTTCAAATTCAAGTTGAACATGACTGACATCTATGCTTCAACTTGAGGGAGAGTATTAGAATATTTATTAATACATAATTTTGTATTAATTACTTTTATTTGTTGTTATTGTCTTTCTTTTATTTCTTTATTCTGTTTTTATTTGTTTCCCTACTAGTATATTCTATAATGGGTACTTTTACCCCTCTTTGCATCACTAACAATTATCTTAGGTTCTATTCTAACAGATAGCAATGTCAAAAGTAAAAAAAAAACAAAAAAAAGAGGATTAGAAAGTCCAAAAGTCATAAGCTTTTCAATACCTTCCAAAGCGTGCAGCCCAATGAAGCGCAGTCCATCCTTTCAAATCTCGAAAATTAACACCAACACCAATATCGAGTAACAAATTTAAAGCCCACTCATACCCCAAACCAGAAATCAGGTGAATAATTTCTTGCTCCTCTTTGGACAGCGGAACATTTCCATCTTCTTTAGAACTGAGTTTGAACAATTGCCACTGCTGGAACTTATCCTTTATTAGTTCCAGAAGGACCCAATCCATTGTGCCTGATGAAATCTCACAACCAGCTTGTAGCTGATCAATAATTTGAAGCCATTTTTCCTCCGCTGCTTTGAACTTTCTGTGGTACTCAGCTTCTGTTTGGCCGTCTCCTTTAGAAACTGAAGAATCATGATGTTGACATAAAAGAACACGGAGAAGTTTTATCAGCAATAAAAGCTCTTCTGAATTCTCGATTGAATTCACATGTTGCAAAGTTTTCATTGAATTAGTAGCAGGGTTGGTGCGAAACTCAAACTGCCGTACTTCACTGCAAGGCTGCCTATTTTTAGATGTTATACATAGAGTGACCCTTCCTGAAGTGTGTTCAGGAGCCTCACAACGTAGGACTCCCTGTTGCACAATTTCTGCAGGGACTTCAACGTCACCAAACATGACTGCCCAAGCATAAGATGAAGGATTGCAAAGAAAGTTTCCTACGAGAAGAACCTGCAGAAAGTATTTGATGGAAGAGCTTGGTACATCAAATTGAATTCACAAAGGAAAAGCAGTTTGAATGAACAGAAATGAACCGTTTCATGAAATTAATGCCTAAATATTGTACTGAGTATGGCATGAATGAGCCATTAACCTGTGGAGCATGTAACCATATTGTTTATATTGGTAAGAAAACTTTGTTGGACAAAGAGAAAATAGGTCAAAAAATCACGCAGTCAAAAGCCGCCTCTTTCAAATTTCATGAAATTTCCCATCTCCCAACAACGGCATCAGTTGTCTCATTTTGATTGCAGCCTTCTTCTGCGTTTTTGTTCCCAGAATCTGAGATGATATTTCAGCTTCTTGGAACTGACAAACCAGCTATCTTGAGCTTTCCAGCTGAAACTCGGTTTCAGAAGGAGACAGTTTTTGTCCTCTTGTTCTTCAAGACAGTCCTACTCCTGCATTCTCCCATTCCTTTCCTCTACGACTTTCCAACAAAACATCATACCCCTACACAAGAATGTGCCTAAAACCAATCAAGAATTGTCTATGGAGGATCTTTTGCGTGAATTATACAGCGTACGCAAGAAAGGCTTGCAGAGTCGAGCAGAAAAATACGAAAAAACGCTCAGTGGCACATGATTTTGAGGCAGTGGAACAAGGGAATGAAAATCCATTTCATTAAGAAGCCTCAAGTTTCGATGAGTTTGAAGATTCAACGTTGGAATCATCGTCAATACTCGTATACAACATATTTTACGATGACTATTTTTTGGCCTCTAATCATGGATATGCTCATAAGGGAGACCATTTTTCCAAAGTAAAAAATTATGAATATGCAGTTGACGGAAGAGCTGATGGTGAAGATTCTCATGCTGTAAAGAATTTGCAGAGTGATCAAAATGAACAATATGTTGATTCTGTTTCTCTCAACCATCTCATCGGACTGATATACACGATCATATGGATCATGCATCATTGCTTCGACAACAACCAAGCTTACAAAATTGGTCACTGTATTCCGGACATGATATGAGACAAGTTGAATATCTTATAGCAAGAATTGTACCTATTAGTTCTGGTTCTCAAGAAATTGATGTCAAGTGGATTGAGATATTTCATAATTGAAGCTAGAAACCCCTTAGGGATTAGGGAGACTCCATCACTTTCAATGTCTTCGAGTTGGCGGTCATTACAAATCAAATTTTAAGATTGCTTAATATGAGGGAACTTTACAAACCAAGGAAGAATGATGCTGGAGCTAGAATTTTATTTCAGTTTATATGTTTTAGTTTGTTACTTGTGTCTTTATGTTTTAGGATGACATGCTTGTAATTAGGAGAATCTAGCCTTTATAAATAGGGGTTGATTTGTATGGGCTGAGGACGGGTTTTTAGACTACTCCTGGGAGATTTCGTTCCATCCAAATCTTGCCCTGCAGCTATATCCTGGATTAGAGCCAAGTTGGAATTTAGTCATTATCTTGTTCTTCATCTTATTCACTATTTTTTCCAGTTCTTTCCACTGCTATTGTTGAAATCAATAACTAACCCCCCTTTGGTCGGTATCGCTTGTGCTCTGGCCTAGTTGGCTGCTTTTTGTATCACTTGTACGTCTTTTTCTATTTTAGTAATGCAAAATGCACCCTTCAAAAAAAAAAGAAACTATTAATGCACATGTATAGGAGTCATTTTGAGATCTTATTGCGTAGTTTGTAACAGTGTCTTTGCTTAATTAGATACATCAAGCCATAAAGACTAGGCTGCTTTAAGGTAAAAAATATGCATTAACTTTTAAAAATTTACTAGAGCCTGAAACTAAAAAAATAAAAAGAGAGAAAAAAAAGAGAAAGATGAACGGATGGTAAATAGAGGGATAATCAAGCTTAATGAGGTTATAGACACACCTTGGTTTTCTCGAAGGAAAAGGACCATTCAGGTGAGATTTCATTAATCCTGAATAGTTGCTTCTGAGCCACAGTCAAACTTGGTTCTGTTGCGAACGACGTTCCATGTTGACCTTGATCAAACCACATCCCGAGCAAATCAGAAGAATATGCATTTTCTTCAAGACGTAATTCTAGACTACCCGTCCACTCGATGTGGCTTTCCTTTCGAGTAGTCACCACTTCAGAGTTGGATTCAGCATTGATTGTGCCTGCAGCAGAACACAGCACACCTGCTACCAGACAACAACTGAATTAGGCAACTCAAACTAACTGAGCCTAAGAGAAATTTTTTAGCTGCAAATAACTGTGAGCTCAAAGTAACTTCCACCAGACATACTTTCTTCATTTTTCTCTGAATGGTTTGGCTGCCGCAAACTACACTGTTCCAACCAATCAATTGGAACACCAAATATGCCCTCCTCTTCCGAAGAAAATTGCTGAAAATTCTACAAAATAAGCTCAGATCAAGATATTTAATACATTATATAAAAGTTTTGAGTAGTTAACTAAGAAAATGAGTAAATAACTTACCTGAGTTCTGGATCATCTTTCCAATATAATCGTAGAGTATGAATTTCAAATTACATAAGTTCCAAACAAATTTGATACGCCTCAGCAGTTAGGTTCACCATTAGAGATGGCGAAAAAACTTTAGTGCTAAGGTCCCATCCATTATTCCTTAACATAATAGTTTTTGGGATGATGATAGTTATGGCAAAAAGAGTCCCAAGTATTTCTAAATTCAAGAGGTTCTATTTCACCTGATTCTAATGAGAAAAATCTAGAGACATCTATTTCTAAGTGCAAGGATCAAAGCATATTTGGTGTTATGGGCAAATGCAAGTTAAGAAAACGTTGAAGGCCCTTTAAATAGTAGTTACATTTTCACGCCCAGAAAACTACACTCCATAGCATGAAAATAGAAAATAATAATAATAAAATAGAAACTTTAAAAACATTTCACAAAATATATGTACTGAAAATTTTTATCATCCATGTCCTTACAACATAGCAGCATCTATAATAAGGTTTAGATGATACTTCAATCATAGCAAAGTTAGAATATGAGAATTTATTGCTTAATTAATGACGATAAGAGAAAAGATTGTTGGCGGTAATTAGATGTTACAATAAAAAGCATTTTTTTTAATCAAACTAACTTTAATATTATACAATAAGAAAATGATTACTAAAGTTTCAAAGTTAGCACTTAAAGAGAACCAACCAAGAAGGTAAATAAATGCTACGATAAAAAGCTTGCAACTATTGATTAATGATATATAAAACATCTGGAATCTCACGCTTTTATGCTTCAGTTCACTCCCACCACAATGATCAGTTATAGTTGCATTACATGAATACAAGGAAGGCTCCGGCACTGAAGAAACAGCCATTAAATCTGAAGCTCTTACATCAGCATTTATTACTGTAGAACTGGAACTAAGTTCCAACATATCATTCCATGAAGGAGAGATTTTTCTGGAAATTCTACAATGAAAACCCAACGATTGGCTGTTCTGATTTCCATAAACACCTAGGAAATTACACAAATGGTTACTAAATCATATTGAAAGATTTGAGGAATATCTGCAGCTAAAACTCGAGAGCTAAAATTTGGTTAGGAAATTGAACCAGAGTACTGGCAAAATTAAGAGCCGCAAAATTCTTCTATTTAAAAATATCATAATTAATACAGGCAGTTGCGTCGAAGAGGCATAAGTCATTATATATTCAAAAAAAACAAGGAGACCGTGCTGGACATCATTCAACTCATTCCAATAATCTAGTCAGACAGGCTTTGGAATAGATTTACTAAAGTAGCATAATTTTTTTAAATTTATGCGAACATTAGTAAACAAGAACAATGATTCCTCAGTGCGCATTTGGAATAAAATTAAGAGCTGCACATTTACCTAAAAGCAAACTTATTCTTAAGTCCTGATGCATGAAGCCTCAGTATTGGCATAGAAGTTTTTCTCTTTGACTAAAGCTCATAACCTCCAAATCAAAACACAGGAAAACTAATCATAGCTCAGCGCATCGGGAATGGAAAATAACCGAATTATCCATTTAAATTACACAACAATTGCAAATATACCTCTTTCTATATATTATTCTTCCCATAAAAAGCTCTTGAGTGCATAAATTAATAAATACATTGTGACAATCAGTTATTTTATTGGAAAGCTCAAATGTTGCCGAAATTTTCCAAACTCAAACAAGTAAAAAAATCATAGGAAAAAAAGGTACTATTTGGATCCATAATGCTACCTTTCTTCCTGTAGTTTTGTATATGGCCATACAGATGGAAAATGCAATGACCCCACAATAGAAATTGTCAAAAGGGTACATATAAAGATGTCAGTTGCTTTTCAAAATATTTTGTACAAATGCTATTGAGATGGATAGTAGCACCTAAAGGAAACAATTGAATGAAAAACAGTGGATTCGAGATAAAATGGAGCAAGTAGAAAAAATAATCTAGGCATAAGGGTCAGCATCATAATGTCCTGTCCCAACAATTTTTCATTTAGTTTTATGAGTTCTACTCCAATCATTCCAATTTGGTTTTGCATGTGTAATTAACTCTGATTTACAAACATACATTTTCATTATTTCTGGGTATTTTATCTTTGATTTACCTCTTTTACTTCCAATAACTCTCACATAAATTCTAAATCCTCATTCTAATGATTCTAAACTTAGCAGATCTGGTCTTGTCAGAAATTTGGAGTTGTGTCACGCATGAGTTGTTTAGGCCCTGATACTAGACGAGTTTTGAAAAATTGATATATTGATCATTTATTCACTTTATGTACTTAGTTTAGGTCAACTTATTTATTGTTTGTATGGTAAAAGAACCAACCAATAAAAAGCAAAGTATGTTTGAAAAAACGAAAAACATTTACCTTATTTTTCATAAAATTTGATTTAGAAAAGCTGTTTTTGTGAAACAGAATATGAACCATAATTGAGAAAAAAGTTTTTAAAACGTTTTGATGGTTTAGTGATGCAAATGTTTAATTTTTGCCACTTTTTGTTCGCAGAAAAGAGTAATTTTATTTAAGATCCGGACTATCTAATGTGGATTTAGGTAAATAATAACAAAGGCATCACTAAAAACTATGTCGGAAGCTAAATCCTAGAAAAGTTCACTATCATAGAATTCTTGTTAGTAGAATTGGGAATTTTTAAGAAACGACGTGATTAAATATTCTCTACAAGGAAACAGAAGCTTTAAAAAAATTTAATAGAAGAGGAAGAATTGGTATATAAATATAGATTTTGGCCTTCCTAAGGGTAAAAATGGAATTTATAGACAGATATTTATAATTTTAATTTTATATTTTTGGTTTTATTTTTTTATTTAATAATTCATATTATTATTAATTCAAAAATTATTTAAGTTATTTCATATTTTTGGTTTTCTTTTTTTTTTATTTAACTATTATTATTATTATTATTATAATTATAAGTTAAAAACCCATAAAAATACTAACAAATTTTTAATAAAATATTAATAAACCTAAATACAAATAAAATATCCTTAACAATAAATAAAAATATGAAAACAGTAAAAAAAATATTAAAAAAAAACGCAATCAACAAATTTTTATATATGCCACGAATCTCTATCCATGACATAAATTTTTATCATCCTTGCATAACATATTTTTAAAAATAATAATAATAATATTCTTTTCACAACTTTTCACTAGCTATTCCACTTAATCATATTGCACATAAAAAATGTGACCGCACAAATCTCGAGAAACTTCGACACATCTCGCTTAATGTTCACCAAAAGACTACATTGAAATAGTCAAAAGAAGAAGACACTAAGCGTTGTTTACTTTCGGTCAGAACTCTGAGTCAATCGAACGGAAATACAGCCAAACGAAAGGACAGGAGGAACCTGATCCAAGGGATAAAAATTTGTTGATGGCGTATTATGTCTTTTTTTATAATTATTTTTTAGTTGTTTTCATATTTTTATTTATTGTTTGGGAAAACTTATTTGTATTTAGGTTTATTAATATTTTGTTAAGTATTTGCTAGCATTTTAAGTGTTTTTAACTTAAAATAATAATAAGAATAACAATAATAGTTAAATATAAAATGAAAACTGAAAATATTAAATAATTCTGATAATTTTTGAATTAATAATATAATATTAATTAAATAAACATAAAACCTAAATATAAAATTAAAATGAAAAAAAAATCGGTATATAAATACCAATTTTAACCCTAATTTTGACCCTAGGAAGGCCAAAATCATAAAAGACATTTTTTTCACTTTTCTTTCAATTATAAAAGGGCTTCTAAGGTGTACAAACCAATGAAATATTTTTAAAATAAATTAAATTAAATTAAATGAAAACAAAACAATATTTACCACATTGATTTCACCTTATAAAATGATTTCTTCAAATCCTTTAACTTATGCTATCTTAAATTTGATTCCTTAAATTAATTTATAAAATAATACATAATAAATATTACTTTAATTGAATTTAAGCATTATCTTGGTTTAAATAGGAAAATCCTAACTTGATTGATGTGACCAACCTCCTTGATTTCCAATCCAAATATCCTTCCACTGCTCCTTGGTTAGTTTAATTAGCAATAAACTTATTTAATAATTAATAACTCATAATTTAATTGTCTACAAGTGAGTTTCTAAATAAACACGTAACTTTATTAATGTCACAAACTTTCTTCCTTCTCCAATCTGAATGTTCTTCTGTCTATAAATCTTGATTTATATTTTTAATAACAATTAGATGTCATACAATTGAAATTTCCATTTAATAAATTTATAAAAAGGAATTAAACCTTAACATTATCTCAGTTAATCTCTTCTTCTGTTGCACAATTGTCCATCTCAATCTTGCTTCTAGTCTTTTAATTTAACTTGCTTCTAGTCTTTTAATCTACGTGACCCCCATTCGCAAAATAAACTGCACAAGCACATCCGTAATATCAAAATTGCCTAAAGAGAGGTCCTTACGATCTAAAGAAGCAAGCATAATGAAATTGATAGGTTGCCAATGCGACGTGCGTGATTTAGACTCGAGTTCTATCAACTGTCATCAAATTTTGCTCAACGATTTTCGATCGAAAAATGGATTCCGTCATTGCGTTCAGAGCATCAAAATTATCTGAGGAGCCTTCCATGACCAAAAGGAGAAAATACAGAGAAAATGACAAGCAGCTATTGCGATGTGTGAGATTTTGACCCAAAAGTATTCAATTGCCGTCCAAGTTGCTCAACTAACCTTCAAATGCGAAATGGACGATGCAAGCACGTTTGAAATGTCAAAATTGCCTAAAGATAAGTCTTCCACGATCGAAATAAGCAAGCATGGTGAAAATAATGGGTTGTTTGCACGACATGTGTGATTCGAGCAAAAATCGTCTCAACCATTGCCAAAGTTGCTCAGACATCATCCGATCATAAAAGGGATAGCTTCGATGAGTCTGAAACATAAGAAATCCTAAATTGGATGCTTGCCTGGACATCCGCACAAATGTGAAGCATGACTTGGTTGGGACTTTGGCTTTTGGTTTATGTTACTTGAAGACTTTTTCACCTTATTTTAGCTGATTAGGAAGTGGCATTTTTTTATTATTATCAAATGATGAATCTATATGTTGAAAAGAACAGGGGGTGGAACCTCCCTGATTTCCACATGCCATCATCTGAGCCACCATCCGTCCACTCCTTTGCTGTCCTTCCTCCGGTACAGCAGCCGACCCACTGTTTCGCCCTTCCAACGTCCATAAAAGTCACATATTATTCGCCGTTTCCCATTCCCCAATATCTTCCCGCTAGATTCATTTCTTATGTCAATGATACCACTTAGAGTCCTTACTTACCAGTTGTCTTAGAAACATAAAGAAGCAGCTAACTATAATGCTTCAGGTTACAATAACTGTGGAAATAAAACAAAAATATCATGCACTGCATCAAAGCATGCTTTCATCATTAATTTAGAGAAAGAAAAAACTAGACGTATTTATCAAGATGAAACTGGATTATTGCCTATGCAATTCAAAATACAACAAACATCAAACTGATTTTACATTGTGCTAAGCATTGACTTTCAGAAAAATTTTTACCTTGATCACACGCTGAGCACTCCCTTTCTGGAATTAAGCTTTCTTGAAACTCGTGAAAGGAACTCCCATTTTCATTATCCAGGAATGCTAGATTTTCATGTTTCTCATACTCGTTGGTATTGGCAGGCAACAAATCTTCAAATTTATTATCACATTTGTCCAAGCTCAACTGCTCAGCAAGCTTAAGTAATGCATGATCGACCTCTGACTGTAACGATAGATCAGAATTTTCAGATATATTGATCATATTCAAGCAGTTCGCGTCCAATTTTTTTCCAAAATATTTAGAATTAACTTCTCCCGAAAGTGAACTTTCAGAGCATTGATAAGAATCATATGCTTCACCAAAACCCGAATGTAGCCCTTGAAACTGACTGTTATTGACATTGAAACTCACACTTAGGGAAGGTAATTGTTCTTTTGCTTGCTGCGAGAGTGGAGGCAGAGAACTTCCCTGACAGAAGAATTAGGAAGCAAAGATGCAAGAACGTCAATCAAATTACCACTGATATGACAGCAGAAAAATAACAATAGGCTAAAAGAAAAGAGAGAAATATGACCAAAGGGATTTAATCTAATACGATTATGAACAACAGAGAAATGAATTAGAATTCATATAGAACTATATCAATAAAAACAAAAACAAAAAAACAAAAGAATATTATATAGGGAATATCATCATTAACATCATCAGCATTCTTATATCAGCAACTTGAGACCAGGATTATTGACCCAATCCAACTGATAGCACCGTCTGCATTTCTAAGTAGTCAGGCTTGGCTATTATCATATTGAACAGCTTGCATGGTACCAGTAAGCATGCGACCTTCCTCCCAAATCATGCAATCTAATTTAAACCTTTCACCAAAGGAGTCTTCTTTGGTCCTTCTAGTAAGGAAGCTTCAAGAGGTCAATCTAATAACAAGCTGCACAAATGTCAAATGTGAATATTATTTACATGTAAGAATGTATTTGCCAGAGACTTAAGATCCGGTTGGCTCTGGTTGGGGCAGCTGTGCCATTTTGTAAAGGTGGTTGCTGTGGTGCAGAAAACAACATAGAAAGTTGTGGAGGATATGAAAAAAAAATATTTTTCTAAAAAGTCAAAATCAACTTTCTTACTGCCACCACATGTTAACGGGTCAAGTTACAAAAAATTCTAGAAAAAGGTTCTCCAAATAAAACGGTCGTGGCAGTCTAAATGCAACGTAGACAAAAAGCTGCTCCAAACAAACCCTTAATCCACCACATAAAGTTTAGGCTTTATGGAAATCCCTTCAGTAACTACTACAGGATATATAACCCACATGAAGCCTGGAAACTATGTTCCCCATTGAGAACTGTAAGTTACGAGTTCACATAAATCAAATAGCACTTTAGAAATGCTTGGATAAGGATACATATTTCACCTATATATTGCCCGCAGAATGGTGAACTAGTGCATCGGGTTTGCCATTTAAAATTATATTAAGATACTTTTACGTAAGTGTACTCAATCTAACAGCTTTTAACACAATCAATTATAACAACTTCAGTTGTAAGGTCAAAAGAGGAGGCATATGAGTACAAAACATGCGTTATGGTATATATAATGCTAAAATATGAAAATATATAAATTAAGCTTCCAACTAGGTTTGTCCGCCAAGTGTCCCACGTACTGGTTCATTACAAGTAATTTAGATGTTACTGTTGTGAGCTGTGTGTAATTAGAGGATTTTATTAGGTTGTGTAATTAGAGGGTTTTTTTGGGTTTATTTGTTAAACATTGTAACACCTATTTAAACACATATTAATAAAATAGCAAATTTTTTCATTAAATAATTCATTATGGGATCTCGTTAATGAAAAAATATTACATCAGTACTGTGCACGTAGAGTAACATGCGTAGCCAATGAAATAACGCCACGATACCCTGCTCGACAGAGAAAAAAAACGGCGCAGTAACACGGGGAATCATGATACCCTGCTCGACAGAGAAAAAAATGGCGCAGTAACACGGGGAATATTCCCCTCCGTGTTATTCATGTGTTATTGTGTATTATTCATGTATTATTGTGTCCTAGAAATATTTTTGGTGTTATAATAATACAATAACACATCAATAACACATGAATAATACACAATAACACATGAATAACACGGGGAAGAATATTCCTCGTGTTACTGCGCCGTTTTTTTTTTCGGGAATATTCCCCGTGTTATTCAAGTGTTATTGTGTGTTATTCATGGGTTATTGCATCTTGAGAATATTCTTGAAGTTATAATAACAGAATAACACATCAATAACACATGAATAACACGGGAGGGAATATTCCTCGTGTTACTGCGCCGTTTTTTCTCCCGTCGCGCGTGGCGTGATTTTATTGGCTACGCACGGTATTTTTACGTGCGTAGTACTGATGTAATATTTTTCCCTCGTTAACAAGAAATAAGCGGCGAGGCTTGCACGTCGCTAGCGGTGGAGCAAGGAGTTCAGATCGAGTGGCAGGCAGGTTCGATTCTTTGAGAGCTGTAATTCCTTGTGTGTTGCGATTCCCACATTGCTTCCCTCGCTAGCACTCGACGTGTGAGCAAAGGAAGGCGAAGGCTTTAGGCAAGAAGGTTGCGGTGACTCTGTGCAAAGCTAAGGAAGAGAGGCTTGGAGACTTTGCGCGGACTTGGGAAGAAAGAATCGCGGTACAATGAGGAAGAAGGATCGCAGAACTGTGTGGGCTAAGAGTCTCGGAATTCCTGTCGTGCGTGAGACAGACCGCGCGGAAAAAGAGTGGTGGTGTAGCACTGTACAAGGAAGGTGTTTCTGGCGTTGATTTCGTGAATAGAGGAGGCGGAGTGTGACAGAAAAGGAAGACTGACGGTTGTGCGTTTGGTTTGCGTGAACAGGAAAGGCAACAAAGAGGATTAGGACTTTCAAAATTGCTATGTCGCGAGAGGGTGTCAGAGAAAAGCAGTGCCTGTATCAAGATCTGTTTTGCCTTGTCCGAGCGAGAGGGCTTCTGTTGTGGGACTTCCATTGTTACCTCGCTTTCATCTTTGTGATGTAAATTTGGATCCTTGTGATTGAGGATGTCAGGTGACAAAATTATTATGGGAGGTAAAGGATTGAAACTTCTAGGGAAGATGGATCATCAAGTTATGAAGGTCTTAGTCGGGCTCATATAAGGAGCTAGTGTCTCGACGAGAGTCACTACCTCAGCACATGTTCCGGCTCAGCCGAGTGGACTTCCAAAAATGCGGTCAGCTTGGGCTGCCTTGAGCTCAGGTAGGATAGCTGCTCAAAGAGAAACCTGTTGAAGCTACAACTACATAAAAGTGGGACACCTGAGCAAGACATGCCTAAACTATCCAAGGAGAGAGAGATGGGGAACATGGACAGTCTAGAAGTTGTGATCGTAATCGTGGGGGCCAAAGGGGTAAAAGAAGGGGCTACGAGGCAAGTCTAATGATAGTTAAGAATAAGGGAGAGACATGAGTGAAATTTACAGATGAGAATCACAATTTACTAGAGAAGTTGAAAAAAAAAAACAGAGAGCAGCATGTGATGTTAGTGGGGATGCATCCATCTTATCATCATCCAAAAGAAACACTGTTAGTCATGCTCACTCAGTCAAAGGTGCTCGTGATACACATGCTCTTACCTTTATATCCACCACAAGTTCACCAGAATGAATAGTAGATTTTGGTTCATCTCAAAATGTGACAGGTGTCGCTGGTGAATTCTCTTTTTATATTCACCTAACAGTTCTAAAGAGCATTCAGACTGTTGATAGCACAACGCGGCTTGCGGGTGGTAAAGGTACAGTGAGGTGTACCAATTCTATGACTTTGTCAAATATTCTGCATGTTATTTCCTTTCTAGCAAACATTTTATCCATTAGTGTCATTATACTCCAACTAAAATGTATTGTTTTATTTGATATTCCAAAGGAGATCTTTTAAGAGAAGGGGTGACCAAAAACTTGAAACTGACACATGACATGGTGGACTCTAGTACTTGGATAGAGAGAGGATGGACTCAGCCTTCGCATCCATGGTTGAGAATGCTAGAGTAGGAGGATCTACGAGGAGTGTGGATGATGTATTGCTACTACATCACAGACGCATGAAACACTCTTCATTCAACCTATTGAGTTGTTTGTATGAAAAGGCAAATAAGGAGAAACCGATGAGTGATGCTTGTGAGGTTGGCAAACTCACTAGGAGTTCTTATGTCAGTTTTGGGAATAGAACCTCTGGCATGTTTGATTTGATACATTGTGATGTATGGCGACCTTATCCTACTAGTTCTATAAAGAACTCGTTAATTTGTTACGTTTATTGATTTTTTTCTCATGTTACCTGGATATAAATGATGAAACAGAAGAGAAAGGTGTTTTCTTGCTTTAAAAATTTTTACAAGGAAATCCAGACACAATATGAGGTAGTTGTGAAGGCACTAAGATCTGATAATGGAACAGAATATATCAACAAAACATTTGAGAATTACCTGTCAGCTCAAGGGATACAACACCAAACCATATGCATATACACACCAACACAGAATGAAATAGCAGAGAGGATAAATCAGCATCTTCTAGAGGTAGCTCGGAGCTTGATAATAACACTAAATGTCCAACAACACTTATGGGAGCAAGCAGTGTTGACAGCTACTCAAGTGATTAACAAAATACTCTCAAGAGTGCTGAAGTGGATGTTTCATTGGCAGATGTTGAAAGACAACAATAGTGGGATCCTTCCATTGAAGGTATTTGGATGTGTATGCTTTGTGAAAGACAACAGACTATCTATAGAAAAATTTAATCATAGAGCTGTGAAATGTGCGTTTGTGGGTTATTCTGCTACTCATAAAAGTTATGCCTACTGGAATTTGCGAAGAGTCTCTTTGTGAGTATGGATGTGTCATTCAAAGAGTTTAAGTCATGCTATACTCTGGAGGTGAATTCACCCTTCGGTGACTCAATCGACATTGAAGATATAAGGTAAGAGAGAGTGAGTAGTAATGGTGATGGAGTGGTGCAAGTGGGATCAATGTCATGTCCAATGATGTAGGATGAATCAACTTGGGAGACGAAAACAAGGAGAATGAACCTAGAGCTAGTGAGATTTAGACTAAAGGTTAGCTAAGAATGTATACACGGAGAAAAAAAAGCAAATTGAGGGAATAGAGTCTGCAATGCCAATAAGTGTCTTGTCTCGGTCTTTCCCAACTCTTGAGACACATACATCATCCATTTTGATTCAAAACTCCTAGGTAATACTATTCCTCCTTCGTCCACTCCTACCCCTCCCCGACGTTAAGGAGGACCTCTCGCAATGATGAGAGACATCCTCCTGATCATTTTGGGTGGAAACTTGATATTATGAACTTTATTTATTATTCTGACATCTCATCATTGCATGAAGCATTCATTGCATTATTAGACTGTCTCTATACCCAAATGTTGGCAGGTTGCGAA